TATGTGTCTGACCCAGTAGGGTTAGACGTTTTTGGCTTACTCGCTGTGCAAAAGTTGTTTACTAATATTATTTTGGGCATCTGACTCCGTAAGAACTATCTGATTCGATCAGCTACAAAAAGAAGTTGACTGGAAAAATAGACGCAGTTTACCCTTGCCCCTTTATGCATCGATATCTCCTTCAATCGATTGATATGTTCCTTCCATCACCAACGACCCTCTTCCTATTTAACGATGCTTCAATAAATTTCATGAAATTGATGTTTCTGGTTCTCTATCCACCACTACCAGTCGTCTTCCTCTTTAATCGATTGTTGGGATTCGATTTATAAAATCGATTTCATGAAATTGTGGTCAAGCACAGTCCTACCATGTGAATATCTTTTCCTGTTCGCTCTATTTTTTCTGAGATTTCAAGTTGTTGTTTCTTTTTCGGTTTTGCTGTGAATTGTGTTGTTCCTTTTCGATGTTGCTATGAATTGTTGTTCCTTTTCGATTTTGTTGTATTTTTTCGATTTTGTATTTTGCTGAGATTTTTTTGGTTGTTGTTGTTGTGCTCGTTGCTAATGATGTTATGTAGATTTTTTACCTAATTGAATGGTCCAAATGGTGTTGTTGTTCTTTTTAAAACAAGTTGGATGGCAAGATAGTTGTCAAGAAACTGAAAGGAACGTCTTTGAAATTAAGTTTTATGAATCTGCTACATGTTTTTTAATCAAAATGCGAAGCCATTAAGAAGAATTTTATTGTGTTGTTTTCATGTGTTGTAGTTTAAACTTGGAGCAATCACTATGCACTTATTATATGTTTATGTGTGCTTTCCTCTTGTGGGGTTTAAACTTGGTGTAATTATTGATAATATGTTTCAACACTATTAGATTATTTAGAAAAAAATTTGTGCGGAATTGATTATATTTTTTAAATTTTGAATAAGTTTCTATCTTTTTTTTGCAGAAATCTTGAATTTTGTTATGGGTTTGTCCTTGTCACCATTTTCATCCGCGTGGGAAGAAATTTTGCATCATAGTTTCATAATCTTGCCTTATGATCTTGATATTGGATTACAAACCGATGACTTCTGAAAATCTGAATCCAATTTGAAATATCTACATCAAGAGAAAATTGTTCAATCAATGGTCTTGGATTCCTAATCGGTGTATTGTTGATTTATTTTGTTTTTTATGACATTTAATGAGCAGGGGTATTTTGGGTACAGAAATATTATATGTATGTTTTGTTCTAAATGTTGAATCAAATTTGTGCTTAAACATGTATGTTTTATAACTCCTCAACAACTTTATCCATCATTGTATAGAGACCAACAGGGTAAAATGGTCATTTTTCATCAGTCAGCATATTCGATGTACAATCAAGCAACATGATTTCTTACTCAGTCAGGATTACTAACCTAGACAGATCTTTCCCAGTCAACACTTTCTCGATCAGAAACTATCAAACGGGACATTAATATGTATAAACTTGAATCTTTTATTATTATTATTATTATTATTATTATTATTATTATAAATAACCGCAAAACTCCGACGACTATTTCCGACGAGACCAAAATTCCGACAAAGATCTCTGGCAAGACCAAAACGACACTACCACCATCTCCAGCGAGACCAAAACCCTGAAGACACAGTCGTCATGAAGACAAACCTACCACAATGCCCTAAAAGCCACCATCAGATCTTTGTTGCCACCACCGCCACTCGAAAGCCACCACCACTACTATCAACCATCGTCAAATAGATCTAGTTCAGGAAGGCGATGAACAAGCAGATGTGGCCAATAGGGGAGGAAGACGGGGCAGATGGTGATGGTAAGGGAATGGAGAGAAGCGGCAGGGCGATCCATGTGTTTTAGTGGCTTTTGTCGACGATCTGGTGGTTCCAGTAGTGGGGGGATGAATTCCAGATGTTTAGGGGTGAAGTCGGAGGTGATAGAGGAGGACAATCCATATATGCTTATTGCGTCGCTTATATGAAAGAATTCCAAGGATAAACATTTTTTTATTATATCAAAACGATTTAATTTTACTTCATCATTCTTTTGTTGGTCATTTTAAATTACCTTGGTTGTCATGCGTGTTTCCATAAAAGTGTGATCATGATGACAGTTGTAGTTGTTTTATTTTCTTAAGATTTGTATTTGTCAATAATCCACATTTTGTTGAAAATTTTATTACCAATCTAGGGTTAAAATTGAAAAACGTAAAATATAAGATGTAAACTAACTTTTTATCTGATTCTAAGAAATTAAAATACATGCACAAACACAAAATCGATGGATAGATAGAAATTCTCATCCAACAAGCACATAATACTTTTTTGTTTTTCTCCAAAAGTATTTTTACCAATCCCCACTATGAATTTGGGCGATTTACTCTATTTTATTATAAGGTTATTAGTAAAATATGTAAAGTACGTTGCTATTGTGGGAAGGCATTACAAGTGGATGAAACTAAAACTTCAAAAAATACATTGTATCACAAAAGTTAATGATTAAGACTCCAGCCACGACGCACGGCTTAAAACCCTTGTTATTATCAAAAGAAAAGTTGTGACTACAATCAGTAAGTTAGTTTGTTATGATAAATACACATAGTACCATTTAACCAAATCTTATGTGTGTGGGGGAAGCTAGAATCAGGTTGATGTCTTAAAAGTCCGATTTATGGACAACCAAACATTTTTTTAACAAAACTTTTTACATAAATAACTTAACAAATATTCAAGATTATAATTTGTCGTTTTGGATAAATATTCAAGATTATAATTTGTCCACCTTTAGCCTTTTAATATATTATTTAAACAAGTTAGGAAGCTTTAACTCAGAAACACAAAGTAATAACAGGTAACACGTGACAATATCGAGAGATAAAGAATTAATAATCATAAACAAGAATCAGCTGTCTATTAAAAACAAACAAATTAACAGATCAACCCGAATCGATTTTATATAGTGAAAGCCTGAGCATTGCATAGAGGGCAAACATTCTTACGAAACAGCCACTCCTTGATGCATTCAACATGGTAACGATGTTTGCATTGAAGCACTCCTACAGTCTCGAATCCAACTTGACATATCACACAAATCCTATCTCCTTCTGGGTCTTCATCATAGCAGTTGATCTGTTTCAGTTAAGATTCTTGGAGATTACTTCCTTCGTCAATCCTTCATGTCCAGAGCTCTGACCCACGTCAAGATTATCCAGTATAATAACTTCATCTACGATTTCCGGCTGCTGGCGGTGTCCTCCACCCAAAAACGCAGTTGTCTGTGTGTGCGAGAGGAGAAATACGACGCTGGTGCTGGATACATATCAACACTGTCGAGTATAGCGACTTGATCTTCATCTACAGACCATTTATGAAGGTGCTGTTGCAGTGATTGGTTTGTACGAAAACGATAAAAGTCGGAGAAAGAGTGATGGTAATACTGTCTATGTGTACTGTTCATGTATTCGTTTGGACGAAAAGTGCGACGTGGGTATGGATTCATGTCGATGGAGAAGAAGAGCAAATGCAGAATAATATGAAAACTGTTGATGATAATGGAATGATCGAAGGTGAAGGTAGCGTGAGTCTAAAGTAGCAAGGGATTTGGAAGACGAAAAGATTTCAGCTCAGATTGATTGAATAAAATATATTCCGATTAATAACATTGGTATTTTCCTTAAATATACTGTTTTTATTTTGAAAAATACTAACAGTTTAGTCTCAATATTTTAGGAAAAGTTTTAAGAAAATGGGAAATCTTCAGAAAAATCCTAAAATTTTACCCTAATTTACGAAAAAGTCCAAACTAAATTTTGTTTACGAAAAAACATTAATTACCGGTAAAAATGGTGATTTAACCATTTTTTTCCGGTTTACCGGTTTTATTACTTACATGTTTCACTAAAGTCTCATTATTTTACCATAATTTGCGAATAAGTCCCAAAATAAAATTTACTGATGATTTGACCATTTTCTCTATGTAACATACATTTTACCGGTTTCATTGTTGATCCGGACACCTAGTCATTGAATGAGATTAAGAGATGGATATGTTGAGTTATATAATGTTATGTTTAGCATAAAACTTGATATCCTGATGTATTGTGTATTTTTTGGAACATAAAATGCATCCAACGAAGACTACAATAATTCCATAAACTAACAACAACTGCGTTATTTTTTACGTTTATAAGAAATATCAAATTGTTTATCTAATCTTATGTAACCCAATAGATCCATCTCATCAAACATCAACTCATTTTCTGCCATTTTTTCTTTGAAACACACATTTTATTGGTTTCATTGCTGACGTAGATACATAGTCATAAATGAGCCGATGAGATAGATATCAAATTTTACAGTAAATATAGCATTATATAATTCATCGTATCCATCTTATCAACTAATTTAATGACTAGGTGGCTAAGTCATCAATGAAACCGATAAAATGTATATTACATGAGGAAAAGAGTCAAATCATCAGTAAATTTTATTTTGGGACTTATTCGCAAATTAGGGTAAAATAATGGGACTTTAGTGAAACAAATAAGTAATAATACCGGTAAACTGGAAAAAAAAAGGGTCAAATCGCGATTTTTACCGATAATTCATGCTTTTTCGTAAACAAAATTTAGTTTGAGACTTTTTCGTAAATTAGGGTAAAATTTTAGGACTTTTCTTGAGATTTCCCTAAGAAAATCATATATATATATATATATATATATATATATATATAATATATATATATATATATATATTGAATAAAAAAACACAATAAACCGGATAAACCTAACAATTTAATCTTATTCATCCAATAAGCCTCATTTAACCGGTTACAAATGTATATGTTGCATCTTATTGGTGACTGTATATTGACTTCAATTATTTAGGATTTTCCTTAAAAAAACCCCCATTTATTCTCACCTCCTTTATTCTCGATAATCCTTGGATTCATCCAAAGCAAAGCCTGTGTTCCTCCAAAGATTTTGTCGATGGATGAAGTATTTGAGTCGGACACCATCGACGTTCAACTTGATGATTTTTGCAAAAGAAAGCAAGTTTCAAGATGCAAATATGAGTTTCTTAACGTTCTGTGTGAAGAGTGGTGATGAACCACTGGGAGGTGAAGGAGAGCATACACGAGTGGAGTCCAACGGTTATGGTGAAGTAGATGATGAGAAAGATACTGATGATGAGAAAGATACAGAAGAATCTAGTGAAGAAGATAGTGATGAAAATCAAATCGAATACTCCATCCATGATCTGAATGTCAAATGGAATGTTATAAAACCAGTTCTCGGAGAAAGGTATGAGTCCAGACATCAACTCAAATTATGTTTAACAAATTATTCCATCCATAAGGGTTATAAAATTCGTTTCAAGAAGTGTGATAGTGTTAGACTAGTGGTTGTATGTGCAACTGATCCAAAAAAACAATGCCCTTTTATGGTTCGTGTTGCATGGATGAGTACTGAGAAATCATTCCAGGTAAAAAAGATTAATGACGGGCATACATGTGTTAGGAGTTTTAGTAGTTTAAGATTTATGAATCCAACTTGGTTAGCAAAGCAATTTGTGAAAGAACTAGTAAGGAAACCAAAGTTAAAATGCAAGAAAATGCAGGCAATAATTCAAAGTAAATTTCATTGTAAGGTCTCATGGTCAAAGTGTTATTGATCAAGGTGTAGGGCACTGTCCTTAATTCATGGAAAATCGAGTGACCATTATGCAAGAGTGTGGGATTATGGACATGAACTGATGAGGTCCAATCCAAGTAGCGCAGTTAGGATTTATGTTAACCTAAACCCTGATCAGACTACAACTTTTCATAGAATGTATGTGTGTTTTAAATCAATCAAAGAGGGGTGGAAGATAGGGTTTCGTAGGGTTATAGAGTTGGATGGCTGTTTTTCAAAGGGACAATGCATGGGTGATGTGACAACCGTCAATTTTTGGCCAAGTCAAAGTCAACTAAAGTCAACAAGTCAAACCGGTCAACTCATCTAACCCTTGTATATTAGGGTTTCCATTACGTTTCTTATTGTACAACTCACAATCCTAATACAAAGTATCACTTAGAGTTTTCACGTGTTCGGAAATTCTAAACCCTAATCAGGGTAAGTGATGAATATATTCGATAAAACATTATTCCTTAACCCTCGGGGGCATATAACAATCATAACGAGACTTAACGAGGTTTACAAACCTCGCGTTACAAAGCCAAACACTCAAAAAGGTCACAAAAGAAGTCTCTCCCAATCTCTTTCACTCTATCTCTCTCTACCTCAAATCTCTCCCAAATCTCTCTTTGTATGAGAAATCTCTCCAAGTGTGTGAAATCTCTCCTAAATCTCTCTCTGAATGAGAAATCTCTCCAAGTATGTGAAATCTCTCCCAAATCTCTCTCTATATGAGAAATCTCTCCAAGTGTGTGACATCTCTCCCAAATCTCTCTCTGAATGAGAAATCTCTCCAAGTATGTGAAATCTCTCCCAAATCTCTCTCTGAATGAGAAATCTCTCCAAGTATGTGAAATCTCTCCAAATCTCTCTCTGTATGTTAAATCTCTCCAAGTATGTCAAATCTCTCCCAAATCTCTCTATGTATGTCAAATCTCTCCAAGTATGTCAAATCTCTCCCAAATCTCTCTCAAAATCTCTCTCAACTTCTTATAATCACTCGGGGCATCCCGACCCTCGAATTAGACGAAAACCGCTCGGAAACGGAAGTCTACGCGAAAAACAGCCTTAAGGAGCCGAACCCTCTTAAGGAGCCGAACCTCCCTTAAGGAACCGAAACCTCCTGAGAACCGAAACCACCTCCTGAACCGAACATGCATCAGAACCGAACCCTCTCAGTCGAAATGGACCGAGAGTTCGGTCTATTTCGGTTCCCTGACCAATCCGAACCGAGACCTGACCTTCGGCTCTTCCCTTCCCACTTTCGGTCCGAGAGGACTGCACCTTCGGTCCGAGAGGCGACCTTGCGCAGCCGAACCCTACTCTCGGTTCCTCTTCTACTTTCGGTTCTAAGGGCTAGGACCGAACCTCCGGCCCTGAATTTCGGAATTTGGCAATTTTTGCGCGGTTTTCAATATTTTTAGCGTTTTGAGCCCGTTTTTCGAGATTTTAACACGGGGATTTTCACCCAAACTCGATTTTAACATAAAAAACCCTAAATGTCATATTTAATTATATTTTTAAGAAAAATCATGCTTAGGAATAAAAATTAATGGGTATGCTTAGAGGTGGAGTGTTGACTTTGCTTTAGTGTTGACACAAGCAACCACCCCATGCCCACTCCATGAACCACCCTTGTCCTCCACCATACCTAGTCATTCATCGTACTTCCACCATTTGACAAGCTACACTCTTAGTCAAAGGCGAAAAAACTCTTATCTCTCCTCATATTACTCTCATTTTCTCATTCTCCACCAAAGAACAAACTCCTTCTCTCTCACTTCTCTCTCTAAATTTCGAGATTCAAGGCTATCTCCAGCTTTCTTCTACATTGGTAAGTATCTTCCTCCTACCCTTAGATATTCTACTATCCTTCATCCAAATCATAGATTGCTTACACAAATATCGTCATATTTGTTGCTAGATCTTCAAATCTTCAAGCATCTCCCAAGTGTTCTTGAGTTGAACACTCCTTTCCTTCATCATCCATCTACTGAATTCACTCAAGGTGAGTTCATACCCCTAATTTTCATGTTTTCTTAAAGTTTTAGGGGGGGGGGGGAATACAAGTTAAAAACACAAAAACTTAACTAAACTCAAACAACAGCTTTCATCAGAAAAGTTGAGTCTTATTCACGGACTGTTTTGACTACCTTAAACTTAATATCTTTCAAAAATGTTTATATGAAAATAGTTCAGGTTCATACCTTTAAAATGACTACTTGAACATCTCCATACGATTTTTCTACGATTTATGTTGATTTTTACAAAACTGCCTATCATTCCAGAAACGAATTCGGACCAGTCTGTGAATATGAACATTTTAACACAAGTTAAAACTTTTAAACGTCATAATAAAAATTATGAATAAACTAGACAAATTTTGTGAACTCTCAGAATTTACGGATTCAGTTTTCGACTTCGTATGATTTTTCTATATTTTTTCTAAAACAGTGTAGAAAGGTTAAAAAACTAGTTAACAGCTTACAACTTTCATAACACTTTGTAGTATGTTGAGCAAAGTGTATAACCTAAGTTCTAAATATTGAATGTATTTTCTTGTTAGTTTATCATCATAAACTGAAATTTAGTCATTCATGATAAGTTTTACTCATTCATTTCGAACACATATAATAAACTTCAATAAGCATAGTTTATGGATTTTTACTACATGAAAAGGTTTTACTCTCAAAACAAATGGGTTTTTCATATACTACATGATAAACTATAATAGTAATAGTTTAAGGATTTCATATCACTAATTTATTCATAAAAGGTGATTTTACTTCCTCCACGGAAGAGGTTCTAATATCAAACTATGTGTAGACTAGTTAACTTAGGTTGTGAGGCAATTCTCTCCCCGTACGTTCGAGTACGGGATCCCAATTCCTGTAAGTTATAACCAGAGTCTCTTGTAGGGAGAGCGTGATAATTGTGTATAGATCTATTTGGGATTGACACCCTACACCTCGCTGCTAGCTACAGCCGGACCGGCAGGTCGCGGGGTGACAAGAGTCATAGTATCTTAACGTCTGAAAAACGTTGTGCAGGTTATTTTCTCGTCATAGTATGGTTATAGCGACTCACATAGGTAGTTAACAATCTTTCAAGTTTACATGGAAAAATTCTACTTTGAAAAGGGGTTTTACTTCTAAACTAAACGAGTTTATGTCGATTTAAACTTGCATGAATTACTTTAAGTATGGTAAAATACTTGTTTATTCTCGGTCCTGGGATTTAGGACTACATAACTTTTATAAGGAAAATATTGGATTTTCTTTGGAAACATATTTCTATTAAAACTACATTTCATCTAGAATTGTTAGACTTCAGCTATAATTGCTAAGTGTATATGCTAGAGTTATATAAGAATCTAGTCACAATCGACTTAGAATTGGTGGGCCCGCCTTATCTCCTGTTCCTTGTTTGGTTGTGGACCTAGGGCAGACCCATTATATTCAACGGTTTATTTAACTTAAATTTTATATAACTTATATACGCTGGGCGATTATAGAAGGAATCTATGGGTCCTTCTAGGGTTCATTATCGCATAACATAGAAGCATTCATTTCACACTTAACTAAGAAAATATTGGATTTTCTGGAAATCATACTCTATCGCTTTTACAAGGAAAACGGTTTCTTCCTCAAACAAAAAATCTTATGAACTCACCACTTAATTGTTGACACTTTTCAAAACTACTTGTATTCTCAGGAAATCAGTGAAACAGGAAAACATCAGCACTTTGAGGATGGGACGTTAAATCGTCAAACAGTTATTTTGTCATCATAATGTAATTGATTTTGAAACATGTAAACATATACTATGGTGTAACCTTTTCAATTATATTTATGATGGTTGTATTTACTTTGAGCACTATTATTACTCGTTGTTGTGATACTTTACATGAAGTCCTCCACCCCGGACGTTTCCGCCATCCTTGGTTTGGGGGTGTGACAGATTGGTATCAGAGCATTGTTTATGTGAACTACGTATATCGAACCACTAAGATATACAAACTATAATGCATTGGGACTAAGGTCTATGATTTAACATTTTCAAATAACTATACTTTTAGAAATAAAATAGTTTCTGTGTTAAAAGTATACATGCATGCATACATACCAAGGTCAGCATCATACTAGAACAAAACAAAAGTTGTGATTGTTGAATGGCACAAGTAGGCTTGGGGATGTATGGTCAGGTCTGGGAATGACATAGCCTGATCAACTATGTCTATCCAAGAAGTGATTAGCATATGCCCGGGAATGGTTGTGTTGTTGCAACAAGTCTAAAAACTTACCAACTCTATCTACCAACGAACATTGAAAAAACATAAGTCAAACATTTTAAAATACTATAGGAGTATTTGGTGATACTATAAACCAACTTATGTGAAAAACTAAAAAGACCCTTTTAGTAGTCTATAATGACTGAGTGCATACCCCAGGTTATACATAATTAAATATATTATAGACTCAGAATCTATGGAC